TTAAAATTTTATTATTTTTAAAAATACCTTTATGATATTTTTAAAACTACCATTGCAGTATTTTTATTAAAAAAATTACCCCTATTTTAAAAACTACCATTATCATAAACCCGTAGAAGCATTGGGCCCCCCACCCGGTTTATAACCTTTGGAAAATAAATTTACTGCATTTAGGTCTAACCCGTGGAAGTATTGACTACCCAGGGCTAAACCCCGTGAAAATATTTAACACATTTTGGTCATAACCCGTGAAAGTATTGAAAAACATCAGGGCATAACCCGTGAAAAATATTAAACCCCCAGGTCATTTAAAGTTCTCCAGGCAGCATTCAAAAATTTGACTCGGGCACTTTGTTCCATGCCCCTTTTGCACTATGGCAACCCCGCAGTGAATATTTTTGGTTTGAAGGGCTGGCACTGCAAGTCAGAGCCAAAAAAACCCTTGCTGGGAACAAGTTTCCCCATGACTTTTTATGTGTGTTACTCTAAATTTCCTAACTCCCTGATCCAAGGTTGTGTTAAATATTTTATTTTATTTCAAAATTCCCAAATTTGAAATTTTTTTTTTACAACCAACTTAAATTAAAATAAAAGAAATTTTCAAAAAGTGAAGAAACCTTTTTACTTCAAAGGGTTCCCCACTTCCACTGGTTAAAAAATGAGTTCAGGGGTAAAGTTTATGCTTAAACAGTCAATAAAAATTGCTCTGTCATCCATGCTGACTTTTTTTAAATTTTAAATAATTGCTCTGTCAAACCTTTCCCGATGGTTTAACTTCTAAATAAATTTCTCTGTCATCCATGCGAAGGTTTAAAATTCTAAATAATTGCTCTGTCATCCATGTGACTGGGTTTTAAATTCTTTAAAAAATTGCTTGAAACCCTTTCTGGGGCTGGTTTTTTTTTAAATAATTGCTCGTCATCCATGCTGACTGGTTTTAAATTCTAAATAAATTTCCCCTGTCATCCATGCTGTGGTTTAACTTCTAAAAAATTGCCCCTTTTCATCCATGCTTACTGGTTTAACTTTAAATAATTGCTCTGTCATCCATGCTGAATGGTTTAAACCCCTAAATTTAAATTTCTCCCGTCAAACCAGGGTGCGGGTTTTTTAAATTCTAAATAAGAGTAAAGGGGAATTTATCTATAACTTTCAAAATATGGGGGCGCTTAGAGCATAAAAAACCCCTGGGTTTTTACTGAAAAAAGCCCTTTTCAAATTACCACCAGTAGCAAACTGAAGGAATCGTTTGTTCCCCTTTAATCCCGTGTACCTTAATTTGTGGCTGATAATAATAATAATAGTAAAAATTTTTTTCTACAAAATAAAGATAAAACTTATACAAAAACCCGAGTTGACAACTTACTATATAAAAAGCCCCCGGTAAAGCAGAGTATTTAGGAAAATTAGGTTTTAATTTTTCCCCCAAGTTTTGACTCGTTTCCAGTTAGTAAAATTTCCCGGTACCTACTTTTGCTTTGGGAAAAAGAGACACAGGGGGGTTGGGTTTAAAAAAATATGCCCCAATGTTTATCCCTACCCGGGATCGAAAACCCTGGACCTCAGTGTGTGAGCTGAGTGTGCACGGGTTTTATTTTTTTCCCGTAAAGATTATATAAAGCTCCTGTTCATATAGCCAGTTCTCTTATAAAGCTGCCTATATTTCAGTTTAACTTTTCTATTTAAAAAACCCGTTTTTTCAGTCAAAATTCTTTTGAACATCATTGCAAATAGCCCCTGGAAAAAAGAATAAAATTTTGGGAAAAGGGATTTTCAAACCCCAGGGGTTCTCTAATTGTTTTTCTGCAGGTCTTAAATTTAAATCCAAACCCAAAAGAGGGGGTCAGCAGAGCAGAGCAGAACAATGGTAAGGCAATCACAGCAGAGGGTAGATTTCTTTACCTGTTTATTCTGTCACCAATGTTTACACCATGTACATACAGTGTTAATGAATAGAGAAGTGAAATAATATGACCCAGAGCCACTCACAGTAGGAGTGGTCATGACCAGTGTCTGTGGGAGTCTGCCACTCAGACAGGTGGACAGGTGAGACATCACCTTGGCTGAAGTAGCTGGCTTTCATGTGGTTGGCAAGGTTGAACTGAAAAATAAGCACAACAGTGAAGCCTTAGAACTGCTACACTGAGGCCAAGCCACATGGTTGTGTGATGGACATCCATAAAATGTAACATACTCAGCATATGCCACAAAAAGCCTTCACTGTGTTCATGATTGTAACCATGTATAGGAGTGTAGATGGTTCATTACCTTTGTAACTTGCCATGATTGTGACCAGATCTACCTGGAGTTCATTACCTTTGTACCTTGTTCAGTTATCAAAACTTTGGAGCCCAGTCCCTGGACTCATTATGTACCTCTGTAATCTTTTGACTACCGCCCACAGGACGGGTATGGGGTGCATAATAAACATATCAAACTAAAAAAAACTAAACTGTACATTCTTTTAAATTTATGATGAAGTTTTTCAGTTGGATTTATGAGAAAATTGCATAGAGAGATGACTGTATATAGAGGAGCCTGCCTTTAACCCTTTGAGGGTTTCGGACGTACTAGTACGGCTTACGACCCAGGGTTTTTGACGTACTAGTACGCCTAAATTCTAGCGCCCTCAAATCTAGTGGGAGAAAGCTGGTAGGCCTTCATATGAAAGAATGGGTCTATGTGGTCAGTGTGCACAGTCTAAAAAGAATCCTGCAGCACACAGTGCGTAATAGCGCACAAAATGCGCGCTAAAGGAATAACAGGAAAAGTCGGTCGATGGATCTATAATTTCCTCACTAACAGAACACAGAGAGTAGTCGTCAACAGAGTAAAGTCCGAGGCAGCTACGGTGAAAAGCTCTGTTCCACAAGGCACAGTACTAGCTCCCATCTTGTTCCTCATCCTCATATCCGACATAGACAAGGATGTCAGCCACAGCACCGTGTCTTCCTTTGCAGATGACACCCGAATGCATGACAGTGTCTTCCATTGCAGACACTGCAAGGCTCCAGGCGGACATCAACCAAATCTTTCAGTGGGCTGCAGAAAACAATATGAAGTTCAACGATGAGAAATTTCAATTACTCAGATATGGTAAACATGAGGAAATTAAATCTTCATCAGAGTACAAAACAAATTCTGGCCACAAAATAGAGCGAAACACCAACGTCAAAGACCTGGGAGTGATTATGTCGGAGGATCTCACCTTCAAGGACCATAACATTGTATCAATCGCATCTGCTAGAAAAATGACAGGATGGATAATGAGAACCCTTTAAAACTAGGAGGCCAAGCCCATGATGACACTCTTCAGGTCACTTGTTTCTATCTAGGCTGGAATATTGCTGCACTCTAACAGCACCTTTCAAGGCAGGTGAAATTGCGACCTAGAAAATGTACAGAGAACTTTCACAGCGCGCATAACGGAGATAAAACACCTCAATTACTGGAGCGCTTGAGGTTTCTAAACCTGTATTCCCTGGAATGCAGGAGGGAGAGATACATGATTATATACACCTGGAAAATCCTAGAGGGACTAGTACCGAACTTGCACACTGAAAATCACTCACTACAAAAGCAAAAGACTTGGCAGACGATGCACCATCCCCCCAATGAAAAGCAGGGGTGTCACTAGCACGTTAAGAGACCATACAATAAGTGTCAGGGGCCCGAGACTGTTCAACTGCCTCCCAGCACACATAAGGGGGATTACCAACAGACCCCTGGCAGTCTTCAAGCTGGCACTGGACAAGCACCTAAAGTCAGTTCCTGATCAGCCGGGCTGTGGCTCGTACGTTGGTTTGCGTGCAGCCAGCAGCAACAGCCTGGTTGATCAGGCGCTGATCCACCAGGAGGCCTGGTCACAGACCGGGCCGCGGGGGCATTGACCCCCGAAACTCTCTCCAGGTAAACTCCAGGTAATGAGAAAAAAAAAAACTGACCATTTTTTTGGAATAAAATAGCGACTTTGCACTGTATTTTCGTATGGTATTTATTGTTGTATTCTAGTTTTCTTGGTCTCATGTTATAGAATGGAAGACATATTACAGAAATTGCGATGATTTTGACTGGTTTTACAATGAAAGGTACCTTGAAATTGAGTTCAAAGTAGCAGAACTGTTCGATTTTTACCAAATTTCAAAAGTAAACAAATCGTGCCAATCGTGCAATACACGTCAACTGGTGAGTCTAATATTCTTTCACAAGTGCACCAATAATATTTATACCAATTTTTACACTAATGCAGTAGTCTGCATAACAGTAAATCTTATATTTTTTGTGAGAATAAAAATTCAAAGTGGAAAGCAAAAGAATATAAGAGGGGCCTTGAGACGTGACTAATGACCAGAGGAAATGTTATTTTAGTGCCAGGAATGTCTTTCTTGTTTATTCTGGACCCTATTTGGAAATTGGCATCTTTTGAAATTTGTGTGAAATTGGCAAAATTGCTAAATTCTGACCACTGTACTGGATAGCTGAATTTCATAAATGGGTGGTTTCTTACACCCATTCGATAGAAAAAATGGAGTTCTAGTGAAATATTCATGTTTTTTGTCGACTAGTACAGTGGAATTGGGCGAAAATGGGGCTCAAAGTGGGCAAAATCGCCGATGCGTAAACATCGCCGAGACCGCTAACTTTGTGAGAGCATAATTCCGTAAGTTTTCCATCAAATTTCAAACTTTTGGTGTCCTTATGATCGGGAAAAGATTCTTTATCTTTTCGTAAGAGAAAATAATTTTTTTTTTTTTAAATTTGGCTGACCCTGAGAACGAGTTTCAGAGAGGTCCTGTCGACCCTCGAAGGGTTAAGAGAGATGACTGTATTATAATTCTGGTCTACATCTCATGCTATAATATGGGCTTTTATGGGGAATGAGTTTCACTTAACGAATACTTTTTAGGTCCCTATCTAGGATGATCAGTGAGTGGCGGACTGGACTTTAGTGTCTTACTACTGAGTCCAGTACAACCTGCTAATGATGTACTGTGTTTCAGGGGTGTTTAGAGCAGCCAGCATGTGGTGGACTGGACCTTGGAGCCTTCCTGCTGACCCCAGTACAACGTGTACCTCGGTACATCTTATTGATGAAACAGTTATTGAAATATACTGAGCCCCAACACCCAGACTACCAACACTTACACTGCTGCCTAGATCGCCTCAGGGATTTTCTAGCCCGCCTGAACGACTCGATGGAACATTCATTCCAGCTGGTGCATGCCCAGCTGTCTCCCCATGGTGCAGCTCCTGGACCTTCGCACCACCACCCACAGCCCCACCAACCACCACCGCCCACACATCACAGGTCCAGTAAACAATATCAAAGTCAATCCAAGAGGAAAACAAATTTAATTTTTCCTGTATAAAACCACCTCTTCCTTTTTTCTTCTCCTTCTAATTATTATTATCATTGTTTCTATTAATATTATTTTTATTTGGCTGATAGGCTTTAAATCATCAAAAATAGATTATTGACTAGTTTATTGTGCACCTCATATCCATACTGTGGATGGTAGTGACTAGTTTTTTTTAACAAAGCTGAGTTTTGACATTGATTTTGAACATTATGGAATATGAACCTTATTGATTGGGTTTGTTTTCATAGGGCCGGACGGTCACCCCGACGATCTAGCTCATCCATAGGCAGCCCACCTATAAGCCCTAGCAGCCCTACCTATAGCCCTGAAAGAATGAGCCTAGTCTGTAGCCCTGAACGAGCACAGCGCTCAGCCAGCTGTGCTCAAACCATTACTAGCCCACAGCGGTCACACAGTAGTGCCACACAGCCTTCATGTCATCCCAGATCAGTGTTCCTAGATGGTCGGTCATCATCACTGCCTCGAGGGTCAGCCAGTTCCAGCAGCGGATCACAGGAGAGTGCCTCCTCACCTCCCTCCAACGACCTGCCTCGTGCCAGGTCACGCAGTGAGAGCGTGGCATCGCGACGCCCACTGTCGCACATCCACCACACATCCCAGTCACTAGTTGCATCAGACGCTCCTCGATCGATGGCTTCCGCTCACTCTGTGGTGGATGTCACGGTGCACAGCAGTCCCAGTCGTGAGTCAGGCCGCTGGGACGACCTTGCTGCTAGCGAACCCACCCTTAATGAGCCTCGTCCAGCTCACATCACAAATGATGCCAACAGACCACTGACAACCCATACGCTGGCCTCTGCTCACAGTGTTCATAATGTGGACGGTGGGCAGAAAAAACTTCAACCGTCAACCTGGACCGAGGCTCCACATTCCAACGACCACCGCAGCGGTGGTAAGAAGAAATCTTCCATCCGCACCTCAATTAAGAATATGTTTACATTCAAGAAAAGGTATGTTTATGCATGTGATTCACTACACCTACCCACACTGCTGTACTCCCAGGGTGACTTAAAAAGAAAAGCTTTTCTTTTTCTTTTTGGGTCACCTTGCCTCAGTGGGATATGGCCAGTGTGTTGAAATAAATAAATAAATAAATAAATAAATATATGCCGGGAACAATGGGCTAGTAACCCCTTTTCCTGTAAAGATTACTAAAAAGAATAAGAAGAAGAAAATTGTCAAAGTGGGAAGTCTGAATGTGTGTGGATGTTGTGCAGATGATAAGAAAGAGATGATTGTGGATGTTATGAATGAGAAGAAACTGGATGTCCTGGCTTTAAGTGAAACGAAGCTGAAGGGGGTGGGAGAGTTTCAATGGAGAGGAATAAATGGGATTAGGTCAGGGGTTTCAAAGAGAGTTAGAGCTAAAGAAGGAGTAGCAATAATGTTGAAGAATAAGCTATGGCAGGAAAAGAGGGACTACAAATGTATTAATTCAAGGATTATGTGGAGTAAAATAAAGATTGGATGTGAAAAGTGGGTTATAGTAAGCGTGTATGCACCTGGAGAAGAAAGAAGTGTAGAGGAGAGAGAGAGATTTTGGGAAATGTTGAGTGAATGCGTGGGGAGCTTTGAATCAAGTGTGAGAGTAATGGTGGTTGGGGATTTCAATGCTAAAGTGGGTAAAAATTTTATGTAGGGAGTAGTAGGTAAATTTGGGGTGCCAGGGGTAAATGTAAATGGGGAGCCTTTAATTGAGCTATGTGTAGAAAGAGATTTGGTAATAAGTAATACGTATTTTATGAAAAAGAGGATAAATAAATATACAGTGGACCCCCGGTTAACGATATTTTTTCACTCCAGAAGTATGTTCAGGTGCCAGTACTGACCGAATTTGTTCCCATAAGAAATATTGTGAAGTAGATTAGTCCATTTCAACCCCCAAACATACAGTAAAAATGCATTTACAAAAATCACTTCATAATTGGTACTTTCGGGGGTAATCGTTATGCGGGGCCCCACTGTACAAGGAGATGTAGCACGTAATGAAAGTAGTTTGTTAATTAGTATTGGGGGAATAAAAGGTTTGATGGGTGGGCTCCAGGAGGGCATGTTTATAGGGGGGAAAACGATATAGGATCATTTTTTATTTGTACTACAGTTAGAGTAAGGGGAGATGGGAAAAGAGGAAGGTGGCAACAACAAGTAAGAGGGGGTGAAAGGTAAAACTAAGGGAAGGAGGGTTTGGGGGGAGATATAAGTGACTGTGGCAAAAAGGTGGGCTAGTGCAAAGATGAGTAGGGGGGGTTGAAGGGGTTTGGAAAAGTTTTAAAAATGCAGTATTAGAATGGGGGGGGCAGAAGTTCGTGGTTATAGGAGGAGGGGGCAGTGGAAAGAGGAGTGATGGTGAATGAAGAAGTAAAGGGTATGATAAAGAGGAAAAAGTTAGCTTATGAGAGGTTTTATTCAAAGCAAAGTGTATAAAGAAAAGCAGAGTAATATGGAGAGTTAAAGAAAGTGAAAGAGAGTGGTGAGATAGTGCAAAAGGAAGCAGATAGAATAGAGAGGGAGAGGCACGGTCAAGAAATTTTAATGGAAGATAAGGAAAAAGTTTTTGGAGTGGTTAAACAAGTAAGAAAGTCCTAGGGAAAGTATGGATTTGTCAGTTAAAAAACAGAGTAGGGGGAGTTTAGTAGATTTGGGAGAGGGAGGTATTAGTAAGATGGCGAGATAATATTTTGAGGAACTTTTAAATGTTGAGGAAGAAAGGGAGCGGTAATTTCAAGCACTGTCAGGGAGGGTAATACCATCCTTTTAGGAGTGAAGAAGACACAGAATGTAATGTGGGGGTAGCAGGCATGAGCGTAGAATGACAGGGGTAAAGCAGACTGGAACTGATGGAGATCCTTACAGAAAAGTAAAAGCTAGGGGGATATTGTAGTGTTGGAAGTGTGGTACTTTGTTTTAATAAATGTAATGAAGGAGGGAGGTACCTAGGGTTTGGTAGAGAGCATGTATAGTCCTTTTTATATAAAAGGGAAAGGACAAAAGAAGATTGTAAAAATTATATAGAAAGAGTTTATTGAGTATACCAGGAAAAGTGTACGGTAGGGTTATAATTGAAAGAATTAGAGGAAAGAACAGAGAGTTGTAGGATTGCGGACTTGAGCAAAGGAGGTTTCAGAGGGTAGGGTGATGTGTAGATCAAGTGGTTTACATTGAAGCAATATAAGTGAAACAAACAGTATTTAGATAGAAGGTAGGGAATGGATTTTTATTGCAATTATGGATATTAGAAAAGGCATATGATCAGGATGTATTAGGGGAGGCAATTACATGCCTGATGTTTTGCAAATATAATGGAAAATATGGTGGTAAATGTATCTTAAATCAGTAACGTGAGTTTTTTATAGGAAAGTTGGAGACGCAGGTTAGGGTGTGTAGAGAGAGGCGAACTACTTCCCTAAAAGTAGTCTATTCTGACCAAGGCATTACAGTTCTAGTGACTATAATAAAGCCCACTGTGGTGAGGGTAAATAAGTGGGCTTGTCAACAAAGAATCACATTATACGCATATGTATTAATATTTCCAAAGAGAAAGAAACCCACAGTAATGGATTTAAATAGAATAAGTTTATATTTAGAAAGGTCATAGGAATGTATTGTTTTGGAAATAGGAGTTGAATATGGAACAGTCTACTCTAGTTGGGTTATTGAGCTTAGGACTTTGGGTAGTTTCAAATTTAGTTGGATAACGTACATGATGGGGGAGGGGTTGGATTTGAGTGGGACTTGCACATCAAACAATATCTTGGGTAGCGTTGAAAATTGGTGGCAATATTTTGTTAGTGGGATGAATTGTATAGGACCTGCCAAGTATGGCCAACTAGGCCTGCCTGCAGTGATTCCCTCATTTCTTATGGTTCTTTTATTGTAATGTCACCTATTGGTATGGTTTCATATATTTTATAATAATGGGGTTAGTATAAGAATTAAATGCTGAGGTAGTTCTGAGAGGGGTGGGACTAAATTTATGGGAAATCAAATTCAAAAATGGGAATTAACACAAGTTACTTTTGCTGATGAACTGTGCTTATGTAGATTATAAAGAAATATTGCCAAAGGTTAGTGGATGAGTTTGTGGAATGTGTGAAAAAGGAAGAAAGTTTGAAAGTGAAAACAAGAAAAGAAGTACGGTTGATGAGGTATCAAATGATTTAGATAAAGAAAAATTGGATATCAAATCTTGGGGAAGAGGGAGATGGAAGAGTGAAGTTTTCAGTTACTTGGAGTTGATGTGGTCGGCAGATGGATTTATGAAGGATTAGATAAACACTAGAATTGATGAGGAAAAAGGTGAATCGTTCATGAGGTATATGGAGTCAAAAAAAGCCGTATCTATGGCGGCAAAGATAGGAATGTATTAAAGTAATAGTAGAACCACTACTTATATGGTGTGAAGCTTGGTGGAAAATTCATCCGTGTGTAGGAGACGGTTGGAGCAGTGGAGATGTCCTGTCTAAGGCAATGTGTGGTGTAAAATATAGAAAATTCGGAGTTGTGGAAATTAGGAAAAGTTGGACTCTACTAACAAGAATTAGTCAGAGGTGGATAAGGGGTTGTTGAGTGGTTTTGGGTCATTTTAAGAGGAGATATGGATCAAAAGTAGAATGACATGGAAAGCTATAAATCTATAAGGGGAAGGAAGGCGATGGTAGGCGGTCATTCTCCTCCATGCAAAGGGATTGGAGAGAGGGGTAAAGTGAGGTTTTCTACCAAACTTAGAGAGCTGGCGAAGGGGCATAACTTCCCTATCAAGCGATGCCGTGAGCGTGTTAGATAGGAGTGAATGGAGACGAAAGGTACTTGGACCTGACTATCTGTTGGAGTGGTGAGCGAGGTAATATTTAGTGAAGGGGATTCATGAAAACCGTTTTTATATTTTATCATATAGTCAGACTTGAGATCCTGAAATGGTAAGTACAATGCCCCTGCAACTTTAAAGGAGGAGGGTGTTTGGTGATATGGCAGTTTAGTAGGGACAATGTTTGAGTGGTATCGTTTATACGTATAATCTCGTAAACTAGTTGTATTCTGAGCACACCTCTGCAAACACAGTGATATTGTGTGAGTGTGGTGAATTTAGTGCTAGTTGAAAATGATTACACATATTTCTTTTTTTGGGGATTTTCCTTTCTTTTTTAGGGTCACGTCGCTGCCTAAAATCCGGTCGTGGAATGGCTCGACATTTTTAAATATAAATTTTATAGTTAATGTATATAGTATATATATATAAATATATTAAATATATATATATACTATAAATATAAATATATATATATAATATCCTATAGTTAAAATCATCTTCCTTCAGTCAACAAAATACAGGCTTTAGTCCAGCTGAGGCAGGTTGGCCCAAAAAGAAAAACAAAGTCTCTCTTTTTACTTTAGTAAATTTAACAGAGAAGGTTACTAGCCCCTGCTCCCCGGCAATTTTAGTCGACTCTTACGACACACATGCTTACTGAGGAAGAATCCTGTCCAATCCCCCATAGAGAAAAAGGAAATAAACAAGAACTAGTTAAGAAAAATAGAAGAAAACCTAGAGGGGAGTGTATCTAAATGCTTGTACATGAATTGCATATTGCACAATTCTAAGTTGTAAGTCTAGAAGTAGCGAAACGTATTCTGAAATCTTGTCATGATATTTATTGAGAGCAGAAAAAAGACACCAGAAATCGCTACCATCATTAAAACAATTACCATGGCTTTTGAATTTACACTCACATTGGCATGACGGTAGACCTCCCTGGCGGGTTATAAGTAAATCTCCCTACCAGCCTGCATTAAGATATATTATACAGGAGGCCCTGCTTACGGCGTTATCAATTCTTTATGGCGTTCCGGCTAATAAGGACCTTTCAAATTATGACCAAACTCAGCTATAAACGTGCTCCCCCCAGATACCTGTGACTTTCTACGTACTGTCACCGTAACCTCACCGCTGTTTGTTATACATTCTCCATGAGCTCAGTAAGCACTAAGTCCTCTTTCCATTTTGTCTGAAACTCCAAAAAATTTTCAAATGTGTTAACAAGGTTAATTCATATTTATAATAACTCTGATAATTGCTAACAGATCTACTTGTATGTTATACCTATACCTAAATAAAACTTACATACCTTGTGACACAGGCAGCAGAGTAAACAGCATATAAAAAATTGTGTAAAGATGTCCTTATGTCTCCAGACGTCATATTGTGTCAAATGAGTATAACTATATCATACATCGAGTCATTTACAATGTCGTATAATTACGTTAATTAACACATTTTCATTAATTGCATACTCCATGATTATTTTTCTTTCAAAATTATAAATAATAAAAACCCCGA